TAACAGGTTCATCTGCCACTCAATCAAAAGCTTTTGTAGATGAAACAATTCCCTCTGAAATCCTCTGAGAGGTGGAGACTTTAAAGAATGCAGCAACCTACTCCTTCGACACATGAAAATAAAAATACTAAAAAACACAGAGATGGCAGATCAAGCAGTTATGTATACCTTCCCTTACTCCACAATATCTGTATACCTTTTAGTTTCTTTAGTCACTGACAAACTGTTCAGTGTTGCACAGTCTGTATATTCTCTATAAGGCTTTTTAACTAAATATTGGTGTGGCTATATTTTCCATTGTATGAATTTAGAATAATATTAAATTGAATGTGCACTTTTTTTTTTATCAATCTTTAAAAAGAGTTTCTTCCCTTGATGTTATTAGGGACTCCGAAAACTATTAAGTTAAAATACCAGAGATTTATTTAAGGCTTTCAATTACGTACTTCTTAAATCCTTATTTTTATTATGTGTAGATTATGACCAGGATATTTTTTTTAAATGTCCGACCCATTTCCTTCTAGTCACTTCCCAAACTGCATTGAAAACTGTGCACAACTGAAAAACGAATGCCGAGCGATGGACTTCTACATTGTGAAGCTCTATCCAGAGTCTCCAGCTGCAGTGACAAGAGCATTCGGCAACAATGTGCGAGCTGAGACAGTTTTACTTCCACTTTGTGCATCTCTGCTTTCCATGTTGTCCTCTCCCAATTACACTTTCAACCAGCAGCTGACGTTCTTTCTGTCAATCCCAGCCCGTTCGAATCAACAAACAAACACAAGCTAAATGATTTGTCCGGATACAGTCTGTCTGTAAAGATAAACTGAAAATAAAAGCTGCATCCCCACAGAAAACTCTGCGGTAAAAAAATTGAAAAGCAGTGAAAGTCGGGTGAAATAACATTTATTTAATCTACTGTAAAACGGTCTTCACTGTTAGAAACTTTTTCATTAACGCTAGAACACTAAAATGACAGACGCTATTAAGGAAATATTATTAGAAGCAGTCATAGCTCTTCATATCTTAAACACCAGGGAATGATGACAATATCATAACAACATTAACAAAGTACTTTAAATGCAGGATCACAACAGGGTTTGATTATCGAATATGTGAAATTATGCTGCTCATTTCTGCTGCTGTGAGTTTTCTGAGTTGGTCATAACGATGTAAATGATAATGTCACAGCCCATACTTCAAATAAATGTGACACTCCATAAGAAATATCATGTATGCATTTGTGTATTCATGAGTGCGTGCGTGTGTGTGTGTGTGTGTGTGTGTGTGTGTGTGGGGGGGTGTCTACATATGTGTAGGGTGCGCTGACAGCATGACATGTACTTTGCATGCTCAATATGACACGTTTGGATGCTCCCATGCATATTGTCCTGATGTGAAGTGATAGCGAGGCTTTGCTGGAACCACTCCCTGTTGTCTCTCCTACATCCACATCAAAACATCTTCTTCGCGAACAGGGAGAAGCAGCGAGAACGGTGGACTGAGATACCTCCTCTCTTGTTTTGCCTCATTTTTCATTTTCTCATTTAAGATGCTTTGATTGGCTGCGAGAGCTGAACAAACAAACACAAATATGTACATCTGAACCCAACACTGTGGCGTACAACACGGTATCACAGAGGCTTGTGTAGCCGCAGTATCTTCAAGGAAACGGTGCAGAGAGAATCTGGAGGACGACTGCATCAATTATCAATTAACTGAACTTGTCAAGCGCACTCTTCGCTGCACAATGAACACTGAACGTTCTCCAGCGTGCAGTGCAAAGTCCGACCCCTTTTTTTCTAAGGCATTTATCACCTTTTTCCTGATAAATGTACCATCTTTTTCTGAGTCATTCACCGCAGTGTAAAAGACAAAATATGCAGTCTACCTGAATGAGCGTAATCAATACAGTAGGATAAGTTATTTTTTCTGCACTGCTCATTATCTGGAATCACAGGTGTGAGAAGCCTAAGTGCAAATTTAAAAACACATTCTAGCCAAAGGCCATTCCTTTGCTGTATAATTGTTTCCCCCACCAAGTGATTCACTATAATTAAGCCGTGGAAGACAGCTCTATTCTACTGTGAGCATTCATATTAGTGCTACCACGGGCAGGTCTAACAAACATCTCACAGCTGATGCGTCTCAAAACAATGGACAGCGATGTTCGGGGGGGAGGTATATACATGTGCACGTTCTCACAAGGGAGAATACAATACACACAATGCAATTGCAGGTACGAGGCCTTCGGGGAGACCTGTCACTGTTATCTTGGCCAAGTCTGCCGTGTTTATGTGTGTATGTGTGTGTGTGTGTGTGTTCCACGGTGCTTTGTCTGAAACAGGAAAAGCTTGACTCCAGCTGCTCTGACATAAGCAGGATGCTCGCTGCCCCACATAAACTAACAATAGAGAAGAACCTTGCATCGATTATAAACATAAATTACAAAAAAGACACAAGCCCATATCCTCTTTCCCTCCATTAGCTAACCAAATCTGACCCCATATCCACATTCTGATGGGTATGATCATTTTAAACTGCACGTTTGGAAAATAAACAAACACGGAGACATCATCGTGCCCTGGTGTAAAAACAAAACAGCTCTTCCGCTGAGGATAAATGAATCATGGATAATTATGAGGTTGGCCTCAGGATGAAAACAATTTTTGGGACAAAGCTGCCTCAGTAATCACAACAGTGCAGCCACTTGTGTGTCCTAGCCAGTCAATGGAATATGGGTTGAGGACTTGTGGAGTCAAGTGGTTTCAAGCCTAAGCTTGCTCATTGTAACAAAGCAATTATCAGTCATTTCACCGCTGTTTGTTTGTGCTATAAATGGTATTGTAATTATACTAAAACATTTGCCAGTTAAGAGCAATGTTTGAAAATACTGTAGAGCTTGTCTCTCTTGCAAATGTCACAGTGGGGAGAAAAGCAGACAATGACATCCATCGTCGGGCTGAGGTTGGAGGGTAAACACGCAGCTACTGCTATTTCTCACTTACTTTCTCGCATTCTCACTCACTTACTTTCTCACTCACACGCTCTCTTCTCAGTCCAGAGAAAAGATGCAAAGGCTGGGTCAAAGAGATGTTTGTCAACATCATGTGTAAGGCGGAGAGCGAATGAGGCTGCATGCTAAACAGGCCCGGCCTCTATCAAACCAATCAAGTGCCTCTAAGAAAATGAGAAAACGTAGCCGGGGCTCAGACACCTGGCACTGAGACTCATTCACCCTCGCTCACATCTTCCCTCCTTATCTCTCTGATCTGCCCTCACACAGCTCTATCAAGACAACTCCGAGCTTTGCATATGGAATCATCAAAATCAATCTTCAACCCTATTTGTCTCCCTCTCTGCTTTTTCATGAGCTGAAACAAATAAAGGCCTTCCTAATCCTGCGGCAAATGTGCTTTTATTGGATGGTTAAGCCACAGAGACAGGATGCTGCTCTGGCTTTTTACAAAGGTGCTTGATTTCATTCTGGAGCCAGACCCACATTTTTTTTTTGGGCTGAGGAAAGGGTGGTGGCGACCCGCAGAGCACTACCTACCAGCAAATGCAATCACAGCATACAGGTCAGTACACGCTCCGACTGAATCCCCCATCTCTGCCTCCACTGACCGGATAACACCACCAGACAGCCCCCTACAACATTTCTCATTCTTTCCACCTGCGTTACTCACACACACACTCAATCGGAACCAGCTCAGACAGGCCCAGTAAATCAGCATGCCTGCAAGTAGGTCTCATTGACCCTTCAGGATCCACCGGTGCCTGGATCTTGCTGGATCATCCAGTCAATACATCAATATCCATCTTGTGTTCCTTGTTTTAAGACCCCGCTCCCAACCCTGCACCCCCACCTGCTCCTCACTGAATGTCAAACGGAGATTGGAGTCATCAATTACAAGTGTCTCTGTGACTGTGTGTGTATGTGCATGGAGCTTATTTGCTGCCGTCTATGGGAGCAAGGGTGATACACATTTGTAAATAAACACACACGCACACACATACCGATGCACATTTTTCTCTTGCACTCACACAAACATAAATGTCCCTCTCCCCCAAGGGATTGAGGAGAAGTGGGTCACGAAGAGAGAGAGGGGAAGGTTGCCCAAAGAATCCAATAGACCAGTTCATACACACAAAAATCTATAAACTAAAGATCAACTTGTCGGCATACACTCTGTCAGCTTGAATAGTTTTTCAAGTCAGACCTTCACTGCTCTGCTGGAGCCATGCATGGTACGTCAGGGTAATTCAATGTGTCTGTGCAGAGCGGCCATGCGGCAACACTGCAGCCAAATGGACGACACACAGATAAAGCGTTTAAGCAATGATTTTTTTTTTCTGCTAGCACCTGAAATGACGTGTGGTGGAGCAGATCAGTTGGGTCAATATACCTGGCAGGTGCTCAGACTTGTGTTCTTTTTTTTTGGTAACAATAGCTCAGCTCACACAATAGAGAGAGTAAACACACGGAGTAGGGAGAGGCCAAATAATCCACTTTGTCAGGCCTCCAAAATTGTGCTTGGCAAAGCGCTCTCACTCACAGGTCAGCCTCAGTGTCTCTGCACCTTGAAATGCCTCGAAGGATTCTGCTCAGATTGACAATGTCACAAGCTCCACTTGAAATCGCTCAGCTTTCAATCAGTAAAAGTCAGGTGTCTCACCGACACTATGATCTGTGGTATGATGGAATGCTAAATGTCACTAGACCTTGAGATGTGTTGAAAGGTGGTGGGTACCATCTTTACAACTCATACTGAAGATTTAGCACCATTAAGCAGACCTATTAGTCATAATTAATGAAAAGGAAACCTAACAAAGGTGGTTCTTTCTTGTTTTTGATTAAACCTTACATTAAATCATATACATCTTATTATCATATAAATTTTAGTACCAACCCCATCCCCTTCCCTTTAGTTCTAACCCTAACACCGAAGGCTGCCCAGCCGAGGATTTAGAACAGAGCACAGGGGAGTGTATCTCACCTCTGGCAGTGGCATGCCGTTGATGATGAGGTCTGGCTGTTGGTGGCTCTGCCCAGTGAACGGGTGCTGATAGCCATGGTTGGGAGCTGCATTGCGTGAGTTCTGGTTCTCCACGTTGAGGAAGGTGCTCTCGGAGCGCCTGCAGCCCAGCGGCAGGCTCTGCTGGTGGTAGTCGAAGTAGTTGAGCGAGGAGGTGAGAGACGAGCAACTCACCACATTCATCTTGTCTGTCTCCTCGACGTCTCGTGGCACCAGGCGGATGTCATTCTTGCTCAGCTTCTTCTTCTTGCTGGACTTCTTCTGGTTGCCATATGAGTACTCTGCCACCCTGCGCAAGTAGAAGAAACTGAACAGACTCAATAAAGCAGTGCTCTGCCTTCCCCTCCCCTGTCCACATGGTCAAAATGCTTCCCCGCCATGCCAGCTAGGGCACTGTTCAACCATGGGTGCCAGACATTGCCGGTGTCCAGCGGTGGAACAGCACACTAAGGTGACTCCCCCACTCCCAGCTTGCGATGGAGCTCTCATCCCTTATTTGTTTGCATTTGCATGCTCAACAATCGACAAGACACAAACAGGCAGGCATGCCAAAAACATGCCAAAACCACAGAAGCCAAGCAAAACGACACACTGGTACTCAGCAGCACTACCGGTATATGCAATCATATTCAAAGCACACAACCCACACTAATTCCATTTTTTCTTTCATTACCAAGCAAGCCTACTAGCAAAACGAAGTGCAGGAGAACTGCAGATTCAAATTCATTTAGCTGCTCTCAGTGGCTGCTGCAAACTTGATATGAGTATTTTGACTTTAATAAGAGCAAATGAGCAGCACAGCCACGTTTTATCAAAGGAGCCTTAGACTGGGGAAAATATCCATTATTCGCACAGCCTTGCAGTTTTCCACAGGACAACAGATGCTATGTGCTCTATAGTGATGACTAACCACAATCTTCAATAGACATATTCTATACAATTTGGGATGTTTTTAATGATCTGCATACTTCAAACTCTGTAAGAGTCCATTTTCAACCCCAGGGCTTAGAGCATATGGCTTATTTTCCCGTTAATGCTCACAAGGAAACTATAGTTACCCATAAAATTGCAATATCTGAAATGTGTCTGTTTTCTTTCTCATCTTGTCTGGAAGCTCTCTGCTACACCAACCCCCACTGGCCTCTGTTCCTCACTAAAATGCAGCTCTAATCCTCTGTCGCTTCTAAAATCACACTGGCTAAGGAGCACCATTGTAGTTTGTCTTTTTCATTTTTCTTTTAGATTGCATCTTGAAAACAGCTCCCACCCCCATTCTGCTCCCCCTTGATTCAGAGGAAAGAAAATGGGCAGCTGCAAGGGTGGAAAATACTCTTTTCCATTTATCATTTTAATATGTTGTCTCTCTACTTTGTGCCCAAATTGAAAATTGGGAGGGGGAAATCTTCAGAGTCAGACAGATTGACAGAGGACAAGCAATAAATTGGAGATAACTGCTCCTCATATTTGAGGTGGTGACTGAGAAGCTGAACACAGCAGTGCTGATTAAAGCACCCAGCAGGGAGAGCGGCTCACGCTAGGAGAGCAAAGTTCTGAGAGCAGTTTTGAATTTGTTGTTGTTGTTATCACTGTTTTTTCTCTGTGAAAACACATATAAAAGACTTTAAAAAATATGATTTAAAAAAAGTTGTTTTGATGAAGATGTGAGCTCACTGGTGGACCATTCTATCAAATCAAGACGTATAGTGTAGTGTGTATATGCTGAGAAGAACTGTTTACAATCTTTAAATGTTTAAAATGCACGGATTATTAAAAAAAATAT